TAACATGAGGCTTTTTGGGTGGTCGGCTGAATTCGTTAGCCTTCATGAGGGTTAGAGTTGCCGCCCCTTCCCTCCCCCAATTCCTTATTCTACTCTCTTCCAGAAATAGAACTCCTTCCTCTTCTATTCCTTTTCTATTCCTAGTCCTTATCTATTTTTCTTCTTTTCCTATTTATATTTCTTCCTCTTTTATTCCTATTTATATTTCTTCCTCTTTTATTCCTTACCTTTTTGTATTTCCTTCATATTTTAGTTCTGAAAGCCCAAAGTGGCTAATATATTAAGTAGAAAAAAAGATACAGATACAAAGGGTGGGAGGGCCCAAACATGGCTCTTTGCTCACAAAAAAAACACAAATTATTTCAACACTAGAAAAAACAGAAAAATACATTAGATACTTAAATAAAAAATCTAAGAGTGTCAAAATACATAGTATCAGGTGGCTAGAGAGCGGCCCAATTTGATCTTGCCTCTGCCTCTAGTTCTAAGAAAGGAGCAAGCTAGTAAGTTGGTAAGATGATTGTCATTGCCAGAAGTAACCAATGTATCATCCAATATGTTCCCGAGCAGGACTCTGCCTCCATTCTTCTTCTTCCTCCTGGAACAGACCTGTCATTTCTCTTCCAAAGAATCAGTCTGATGGGGTGGTAGAGCTAAAGCAGATGGAATATCAACCATAGTACCCACAATAGGTTTTAGCATATGTGAAGTATGAATATGTGTGTGTGTGTGTGTGTGATGGGGTTTGATCAGCTAGGATTTTCTCTGGTCGCGACTCATGGCGATTCGGGCAGCCTTCGATATTTATGCGCCGAAACGAGAGCGACAGCAGTTCATGAAGTAGATCCCTAGCACACCAACGAAGAAGAAGAGGGAGATCGACCCATACGGGTAGCCTTCGATATCTCTTCACCGGTACGAGAACGACAACAATGCATGAGTCGATCCCTAACATACCAACGAAGAAGAAGAGGAGGGAGATCGACCGATACACGATGCCTCTCGCTTGCTAACAGCGCAAAGACGTCGACATCATCACCTTCGACTAGGTGAAAGCCTTAGCATCACAACTCTGCTTGACAACGCCTCCTCCCGCAGCATCCTTCTCTCCTTTGCACACGTTCTACAGTTCTTTTGCCCGTATAGCCACTGCTTTCTGTGTTGTCGGTACATCCCCTGTTGTTGTGACGCTAGGTGAAAGCCTCAGCGTCACAACTTTTGTCGGCAGCATCCTTCTCCCCCCTCCCTCCTCCCTCAAATGGGTACCTCGGCAAGGCTTCCTTTCTTGATGTGGTTGGAAAGGGCTTGGATTCTGTGTCGTCGATACATCCCCTGTTGTTTCCTCAGCTTTACCATAATTCTTTTCAAGGGACAGGTGACTACTCGTTTATTAAGGGTCTGTTTGGGACAGCTGTAGCTTATTGAATAATCTACTGATAAGCTGATTAAAATAAATCTGCTGATAAGCTAGGTGTGGTGGTTATTACAAATTTTTATTTTTTGGAAAAGTCAGACTATTGCCAATAAGTTGTCACCGCACCTAGATGGGTGCAGTGTCAAAACGCTGTTTTCTGCGTTTTGAAAACGCATAAGTTGTCAAAACGTAATTTAGCCAAACAGGTCAGGTGCGTTTTCAAAACGCCACCGCACCAAATAAGTTGCCCCAAACGGGCCCTAAGAAGGCTAGTATGAGTGGGAAACCAACTCTCATATTCTCAGATATTGTAGTATCTAATCTAGCTGAAAATTGCAAATTCAAACTCATTGGGAAATTTCAACCAGGGCATTCTAAAATGGAGATTATTAGAAAAATTTTTGCAGAACTCAAACCAGTGGGGCAATGGTAGCCTTAGTAGGCGGGTCTTTTTGATGTGAGATATGTGATGATACAATTGACAAAGGAAGAATACTATGTCATGATCTTCTCAATGAAATACATCACAATTTATGGAAATTATATGAAGTTGCTCAAGTGGTCTCCCGATTTTAATCCAAGTCAAGAACCACCTATAGTATCAATTTGGTTTAGGCTACCTGGTCTTAAGCTCCACTTTTTCAACCATCAAATTCTTTACTGCATTGGCGCTACACTTGGGAGGCCTATGAAATTAGACATGCCTACTTTCAATCTCACAAGACTTGTTATCAGGATCCTTGTAAAGAGATATTACATTACCTGAAGTTGAAAAAATTTGGCTTGGAACTGCACATAATGAGTATTGGCAATAAATTGTCATGGAACATAGAACATATTATTGCAGACATTGTACGATTTTTTGGCACACACTAAACAAATGTTTTAGGTGCAACCCCAATTTGAGACCTAACCGTCTAGTGCACCGTGATTTAGCCACAGATGTGGCTAATTAAACAACTCAAGAACCATCTATTCCAACTGATGTTATGGTGGAAGATGCAACTAAGGAGGATACTCCTACTACCCCAATTGAACCTGATGGGAACCCTTCTCTAATCAAACTTACTAATATTCTTAATCCTTCATTGGATATCACTACTGCCAATAATTTGGTTGTAGCAAATACTATTCCAATATGTATGGAATCACAATTTGTAGAAGAAGAGAGTACTCAAGTACTGGAGGCGTGCCAAGATCAAGGTGTGCAGCAGGCTGAAACTGCTCAGCAATTTATGTATCAACATATCCACTAGGGTGAGTTCTCCATTAATGATCAACTTATTGATCAGATGGGACCTGTGTTGGAAGATGAATGGAAGGATTATAAAGCTAGAAAGAAGAAAAAAGGAAGGCAAGAACACAGAAATTTACAGAATGGCAGTTTAAAAGTTTCGGGCGGAAGCCCATGTAACGGTTTATTGCTAGACCCCCTCTCAGAACCAGGGGGAGAGGAAAACTTAACCACCATGATTAACCTTCTCTTCTCAAACAGATGCACTGATATATACATATATGTATGTATACATACATATATGTATACATATATATACCTGTTTTTTTATTTTTTTGGAGATTATTTTTGGGGTTGTGTAATCTCATCGGTGATTTTTTTTTCTTTTTTTTAAGTTTTATTAAAATCACTTGCCCACTTATATGTGTTTGCATTTCAACGAAAGTATTTTTTCGGTGAAATATATATATAGGCATATGTTCTTCTCTGTTTGAGATTTAGTTTTTGGCTGAGCTCTCCGATTGGACAGTCATCGACATCATCTTCCCTTCTAGAGTTGTATCCATTAGTGAAATGGTGATCCAATTGTAACTCATCCAAGGTGGTGATCTTCAGCAAGGGTTTGAGGGTGCTCCGGATGTAACTCGCTCCCGCGAAGATTCTTATCCTTCAGTATTCTCCTCACCTGCTTGTTGCTATCTTCCCGAAGTTTCCACCGCTTCCTATTTCACTCTGCACTCCGACCAGCTGCCAACAACCTCTCTAACATCGACCTGTTGACGATAGCGCTCCACCGCTCCGACCTACAGCCGACAACCTATCTAGTGCTCTGACCTGCGATAGCCTCTTTAGCGCTCTAACCTGATGTCGACAACCTCTCCGCGCTCCAACTTGTTGACGCCAACCTCTCCTGCTCTCTGACCTGCTACTGACAGCCTTTCCAACACTTCACCTTGCAACAGTAACCCCACCAGCACCCTAACTAGCTGTCGCAACTCCCTCCACAGCCCCGAGCCGCCACACTAATGTGTCATTTTATGTCATCTATCATCTAATTCTAGTTTTGTGATGAGTGGTCCTTGTAATCATATTTGAATTCAACAATAATGACTATATTTCTTGTGTTTTGGGTTAACTCTGGTATCAGTGACATAAGATAAAGCCAATAAAGCAAGCAAAAGGACCAACTCATATAGTAATAAACTCATACCTTACAGACTTTTGGGTGAATCAAAACAAAAAAACAAAAAACATATCATTCTAAAAATTTAGATTTCTTTCCAACTAACTTTAAGGTAACTCCAATTGGTCTCTAAAGCATATCCTTTCCACAAATTAGCAAGTGCATTAAAATTAGGCCATTACCATAGAAACTTAATTTTTAATTCTACAAACAAATATAATTCAAAAGCACTATATCATCTTTTGAGATTGAAATCATTTCTTCTGTCACAAAATCTCCTTTTCAAATTTGTAGAAGAGTTATGTGTGGCTAATTCTAGATTCCATTGATTTTATCAACCAAACCATCACCATGGAAATCTCCACCTAAAAAGTTACATAAACAATTTTGTCTTCATTTGAATATATTTTTGCCTTAGTTGTACATAATTCATCCTAAGCTTCGAAACAACAACATAACAAATTGATACCATCCTTTGAAACTGCCGCCATAAAGTTTAAGCCGACTAATTTGAAAAAATTGAAGATCACTAATTAAAGGAAAGAAAGCTCGTCGAATAGTTGCAGGAGAAAGGTGGGGCAAAATATAAGAGACTTGTGAATATTCATTTTTTGTTACACTATTCATGGTAGTTTTGGATACTAGGAAAAGATGGGATCAAAGAAAAGCTATAAAACCATGAAAACTAGAAGAAGAAAAAAGTTTTCTTTGAATTAATTTTGTTATATGCCTCAAAACGATTTTATGAAAAAAACAATAACACAAAATGATGTCTTAAACCTAGGAGGATTACAATCAATTCAAACAAAAATATGCAAGCTAAATAAAGAAGATCCTAATGTAATTCCGGAAAAACATAAATTTTAATCCCACATGTTCACATGTGATTTAATCCCCACTTTATTTCACCCTACGGAACAATGTAGTATTCTATAAATTTCAATAGAATTTCATCATATCGAATTTAATTACATATTAATGAATAGATAAAAGGAATAAAATAAGATTTCATTAAACAATTCCAATGTAGCTTCGCTAATCTGATGCAAAAGAAACGAATAGATGTGTTGGACCTGGCAGATGAATTATAACACAGTAATTAACCATTTTAATTAATAATTACCCATCAGATAAAGGAAAAACAACATAAGGAAAAATTTCTAGATCACCTGAACATCATCACACGGAAGAATTTTTTTTCTTGCATTAAGACATCTACAAAATACAAACATGTCTTTAAATTATAAAAAACGAGGCATAAATAAATATGAAGGACAACTATACAGTCAATAAAATACTCACCTCTCTAAAAGTTCCTGTGATTCCTCTAAGCGTTCAAGAAAATGGAGAGTCTTAGCCAGGTCTTCTGCTGCTATTATAGTCTCCAATAAACTCCATCCCTGTAAGTCATTCATTCGCGATAGATGAATTCCCAAATGCTTAAAATTTTTAACCAAATATCAGTTAAGATGATTGAATAACCTCATTGTGAGCTTGTCAAATGCTAAGAAAAAAATATAAAATAAGATAAAATAACCAAACAAATGTTTTAAACAACCACAAGGGGAAAATGCGTTTAGCTAAAGCGTACATGGGGTCAAAGGTCACGAGCATGAACCTGCATGAAAGAGCTAAAGAGTGCTTATCATGCAAAATTGTGACAAAAATATTGGATCTTTAGGACCATGAGATTTGTTGATTAAATGCAATAACAGCGCGAATAACCCCATATTTAAGTAGAGTTTGCTTTACTTTTATAAATGGAACAGGTAGTAAGAATTTTTTGATATGATTGATAAAATTTTAATTACTTATTAAGGGTATGAATTGTTTTTTCCCAATGATCCAAGTCGTGCATAAAGAGTTTTTTCTCTTAATGTATAATGTGTTCTTTCTTCAATAATTTTTAAACATCATTCCTCTTCATATAAACTCCATAAAGACATAAAATGTCTAGCATATTCCTTATCAAAGAAGAATTTTATAAAATAGTTAGGAAATCTAAATTATCATTCCTCTTCATATAAACCCCGCAAGACATAAAAACCCTAGCATCATTCCTCTTCTCGACCAATACTTATTAAAATTTGTGAAAAAAATGGTATAGAGCTTATTTCTAGTAATAGTAAATGCAACACAGCAATAGTTACAGTATTAACATGTTAACAAAATCTAAATTATCACATGTAATCTATTTGTAGTAGTGATCCGTCGTATTGATTACTATATTGTAGATAATATTCTTTGTTGTGCTCTCCCTTAATATTTTCTTCTCTTACCTATTATATATAAACCCATATATAAATCCCAAATAATGCACTCTTCTTTAGTTTGTTGGCAACTAGTTTCACCATTTCATCTGGTGTGACATACTGGTACTCAAATAAAGTTTCCACAATCTAAAGCCACTCAATGAACTCGTGTGAATCCAAATGACCATCAATATGTGGCAAATCCACCATTACCTCAAAATCTTGGCTTCTCAGATATTTCAAGACAACTATTCAAGATAGAGTACTCTTCATCTCTTAAATCTCTAACATCTACTTTACCTTTGTATTCTCTGACAGGCTCTTCATTTCTATAATCGAAGGGGGTTCGGGAGACCCCTTTGAATAGTCTAATTTTCTCAATTTTATCGATCCATTGTAGCACTCAGCAGAGTTTTTATTATATCTCTTTCATGGTAAACTCCTAATTGGTGTGTAACACTTTTCTTGGTGGTGGCGTAGTTAGGATTTGGGGTCAGGGTATGCGGAAAAGGGTGTATAGGGATTGTTGGAGTAGAAAAGGAGGAAAATTTCTTCTGGGATGAGGTGGAAATAGGATTGAGTATCGCGGTTGCTAGAAACCCTAGTATAGAACTATAGTTACGTTAGCTTTGATATCAAATAATACTAGAGTTAACACAAACCACGAGAGAAAAAAAAATATTATTACTAAAAGTAAATAAGCGATCACAACCAACTCAGTTGAAAGGGAAAATACAACACGACTCCCGAAAACTTAAAAGAGCAATAGACACGATACAACACTCGACTATGGGGCAGATCCAAGGGTGAGGGTGGAGGTATATAAGGGTTTGGAAGTTGATGAGGGGCCGTTGGCAAACAGAAACAGAGGTTGGTGTTTCCCTATTTCAAACAACAAGCAAACTGCAGGGAATGTTGTGGGAGGCCTACCTGAGGTGATGGCAACAACATGAGGGGTTGGGATGCAATGAAACGGCTGGAAAAGGCACTTCTGGGTTGTGGCAGCAAGGGAGGAGGACAATGGCAGCGAAGGAGAGGAGTTGCAGCATGAATGAGGGAAACAGGTGGTTGGACGGCTAGAAAGGCAGAAAATAGCCGAGAAAGACTATTTCTGAACGACAACGACGAGTGAGAAACGGCGGCAGCGGCTGCGAAGCCGGAGGATTGCAGGACAGCCAAAGGAGAGCTGTCCCAAGGCTGCGACAAAGAGGATGACTGCTGGACAGCAAGGAACTGCAGGAAGAACAGCAACGGCGGTCGTTCGATGGCGGCTACAGTAATGGAGGACGGCTAGACACCCAAACCCTCGGATACAACCCTCGAAAAGAGAAAAACAGATGTCGGCGGCTGTTCTAAACAAAACACACGAAAAACTAACCCTAAAACATTAGGAATACAAATACATAATAATAAGATAGCAAGGAGTGTCCCAAGAAGACTGGCTGACTCCTCAACTATGACAAAAGCGTGAAAATGACAACCACATGGTCGTAGAAGGTCTTCTACAACTAGTTCCTATACGCAGGGTTACGGAAGGCATCCTTGTATGCGGCGCTCCCGCGTCAGCCCCGCTTCTCATAACCTTTTTCTAATTGTTAAACCCATACCAACCCTCAACAACTTCGTCACAGAGCAATCGCTCATCATTTTTCGTTAAATCTACAAACAGCCTTAAATTAATGATAAAATATGAAAAATACAGGAAAGGCCAGCACAGGAGAATTATTTATAAACTTATCTATCTCACTGATATTATACCTAATTTTAACTTTCTTACAAGTTTCATTAGCCAGGTCATTAATAATCCTACTAAAAACACATGGATCATATGTAGACCTTAAGATACTAAAAAGGGTCCCCTAGAAAAGTATTACTTTCAAAAAAATACCAAAAATATTTAAGCTTTCACTAAAGTTGATTGGCAGGTTCTCTATTTGACCACATATCTACCTCAAGTTGTTCTACACAATCATATGAGATAATCTTACGGCCTAGAAAAGTAGAAAGCAACCAAATATACCAAGGAGCAATGCTGAAACAGAAGTTAGAGCAATGGGTTATAAAACTTATAAAGGACTTTTGTTAAAACGACTCTTTAATAAATTGTCTACTCAGAAGAAGAGTCCAATAGGTTAATTCGTGATTATTAAGTTGTGCAATAATTATTGCAGAAATCCTATTCATCATTATAGAGCTAAATATATAGATGTTGGTCATTACTTCAGAAAAAAGGTAACATTGGGATTATTACACTTCTATATGCACTCTCGCACCAACAAATCGTTGACATCCATGCCAAAGATAACTAAAGAAGTAATTTAACAACATAATTACCAAGTTGGAAATAATAAACATTTGATATTCAACTAGACGAACAGAGCCAAAAAAAAATAAATAAATAAATAAATAAGACTCTATCAACTTGGTTCAAACCAACTCATCAGCTTCTTTGGAAAATTGTAAATTTCATGATGATCCAACCAGCCTAAAATCAATTTTTAGAACATTGCGTGGAGCCTTACTACAGTCAATATCAGATTTATTCTGCATTAATTAATGGATTTCTAGACTTAGAATTAGGTGGTCTGTAGTATTATATAACTTTTAGCATTAGAATTGGACGACACAAGTTAATCCAAATTTAGTCCTTTACTTGCATCTTCCTATTCGTACTTGTTACACAATAATTAAGAGTTCAAATTCTAAAGTAATGTATTAATGTATTTCCTTGACTAGTAATTTTCAAGATCATATTCAGGTAAACAATGATCTCAACAGAGAAATAAGATAATAAATTAGTTTCTCTGACATCATTGTGTTTTGATTTTCTCCGATGTAAAATTCAATGTAAGATCATATGATATTTGTGGAAAATTATGGACGTGGGCCGGGAAGGATTTGATTTTGGAGAATCTAATTAAAGATAATTGTGGAAATCCTTTGATTAATTTATTCTCTTTTCATTTATGTTTGTTTAATTCCAGAATAATTTTCTTTCAATATGTAGATTAGATATATTTGGTAAGTATGTAAATTATGAAGAGGGTTTCGCTATATTGTATCCTAAATGCGAATAATTTGAAGTAAGCAAATTTTCCTCCAAGAGTTGGTTCTTCTATGTGGCATCAAAGCCCTAAAATAAACCCTAGCTTCCTCCTGTCGCTGAATCTCTTCTTGCCATCAAAAATCTCATCTGCATCGCCGGAAATCTGCTATACCGGCCCTCACCTGCTCTTCCTTGCAACAGGAAGTCTTCTCTGCAGGCAGCCGGATCTCTTGCTCAGCCACCGGAATTCCAGCAGACACCCGAAAGGCCCTCCTCTGCCTTTCCCTGCAGCAGTAATTCTCTCTGCAGGCTGGAATCTCCCTGCTACAAGCCCTTCTTTGCTGCAGGCTCTCCTCCGTGAGAAAATTTATTCCCTGGTCTAAGCAGCAGCAAGCAACCGATCTTGCGAGCCCTCCCCTGTCGGAAACCTCTTATATCCAGCAGCAACAGCAGATCTTGCATGTCCACCGCCCCCAGAAAGCTCCTATATCTCAGCAGCTAGCAGCAAGCAGCAGCAGCACCACCACCAGAAAGCAGCTGATCCTCTAAGTACCAGTTCCTCTGTCGGAGCTTCTCCCTGCAGGCGTGAGCACCGGAGTTCTCTCTGAAGGCTGCAAAACTCACTGCAGGCTCTTCAAATTTCTGTTTTTTCTCCCGTTGTTCCCTATCTACAGGACCAGTAGATTCCACCTTGCATCCGCCAACCAGTCCAGCTCTTGCTGCCTCTCTGCCGAATTTATCCCTGCAAGGGTCCACCCGTAGGCTCCTGTTTCCCTGCAGGCTTCTCTGCAACCTTCCTATCTCCGTTGTCCTCCAGCCACAGCCTTCCAACCTTCAAGCTGGAAGTAGCACCCAGCCAGCCAGCCTTCCCGTCTTCCCACCAACGACCCAGCTACTCCTTCCCGAGCAAGAAGAGCTGCCGCAGATAGCAATCAGCCGGCAGCCCCAGATAGCCTCTTCCGAGCAAGAAGACTTCTCTGACTTCCCAAGCATTCCTCCATTTCTGCTGCACGAAGCACATAGGGATTCTTTCATCCTTAAACGCGCATAGGTTATGAACAAGTAAAAATTGAAGACTTCTAGTTCTATTCAAAGATTTAGT